TCGACCTGGGTGATTTAAATAAGGATTATGACAAAAAAAAAAATATTTTGAAAGCTTTTTATTCAGTACTGACTTTTCAACATAATTGGTGTGTGTGTGTGTGTGTGTGCACTGGTTTGGGTGGTTTATGAGGACACAAATTTGTATAATGACATGGGTATGACACAGGTATTACAATATGAAGGTGGTTTATGAGGACACTACCTGTGTCCCCGTAATTCAAAAGACTTTAAAAACATACTAAATGGTGTTTTTTTAAAAATCTAAAAATGCACAACGTTTCCTGTGAGGGGTAGGTTTAGGGCTAGGGTTGGTGTAGGGCAATAGCACATACAGTTTGTACAGTATAAAAACCATTACGCCTATGGAATGTCCCCATAAAACATGGAAACACAACATGCGTGTGTGTGTGTGTGTGTGTGTTATCTCATTCCAAAATGAACATTTTGTCAACATTTCCTCACTCACTCAATTGATGGGTTACAAAAGTCAACATTTAGAAACAGCCTTTCTGTATTTTGGGCTGAACTAATATTGTAGATGAACTCTTGACTACATGCTTAAATGTATGTGCAATTCTTCATCCCTCTGCTGCTGTGAATGACATCATTTGGCAGAGTTGAGTATTGCGCCAAAGAAACCAGACCAGTACAGCAAGGTTTTATAGTGTTTTTTCTTCTTGTTACGTGAATATTTCAGGTGCTTCACATGACTCGCAGAATCTAGAGCACACAGAGAGCAAAAAGGGTTGTTGAGAAATGATGAGAATGTTACTTATGTTCCTTATTTGATCAGTGTGAGAAGCATGCAAAACAGGCCATTCAATAACTGTGTATTACTTTTTATACTGCAGTAAGATTTGAATATATTTCATGATGGATACCACATTACTGACAGTTTAAATTTTCCATGAATGTTTTATCTCTCAGGTCAGGCGCTGCAGTGTTATGAGTGTAAACTGGGTTTCTGGAAACTTTGCTTTACAACCAAAAAGACGTGTGAGGCTGGTGAGCACTGCTATAGCGGGGTAGGGAAAGCTGGTAAGTTCATGCTCTTCAAAAGCCACTGAACACCTTTTTTATGGGATTTTGAAGCTTAATCTGTTTTTCTTTCATCTCTATTTCAGCTGGATTAGTGGATATTAAGAAAAAAGGATGTCTTGAAGTGTCCAAATGCAACAAAACTGAACAGGTGAATTTCCCGTCCAACTCAAGCACCCAGGTATACCAGATGACGAAGACGTGCTGCTCTGCTGACCTGTGTAACTCAGCTCCGGGTCACTTTCACGTGTCTGCCGTCAGCATGGCCTTCGCTGCCATCAGCTCTGTGTTCACGCTCAAATTCCTCATCTGAGGAGGATTATTTCAGCTCACACACAATATATATATACACAACATCTCTGAGCAAATCATGCATACTAAACAAGCCAAATTAATTTGTTGCAAAACAATTTATGGAATGATTACTCAAAAGGTCACACACTGGAATATGAAAAGTTTTCAGTAAATTGCCAAGTAGTGATAAGTTCAACATACCATCATTTTAACATTTCTCTACATAGAAACATAGCAGGAATTCATTTAATGTCAGCAATGAAAACCATTCTGGCTATAGATAAGCACTTCACCCAACTAACATTCATTAAAACCAGCAATATACAGTTAGGTTGTTTACATACAATTACACATACACACATATATGTCAGCATGCAATCAAACAGATTGTTTTACCTTTCTTTAGGGGTGTTTGAATGATACCCTTAATAATTATAATAATAATAACAATAATACCCTAAATAAACTTTTTTTTGATAGCAGTTTGCTGTGTATTTTTATTATTTTATTTCTCCTGATGTCTGTCTGCATTTCTCTTATATTACATGGTCTCCTAATAAGACCAGAGGGTTTGGCTGTCAAATCATAATTGCTTGAATGAAGCTTATGAAATCATTTAGTTTAAATGTTGGGGGTTTTATCCGTTGTATTGTACATGCCTATTCATTTACACAGGACATTCTTCATTTTCAAACATAAGGTTCATCAAAGCCATTTTTGTAAAATTTGTAAAGCTGTCAACATGGTGTTTTTATATTTTGTTGATTTGTTTGGTAAAGATGATATTCTTTATTGAAATAAATGTTCGAAAAGGGCAAGAATGAATGTTTTTCTGGAGGTCTGCCGTCAGTAGCCTCCACTGAACGCTGTGGCCTGCTTTGACAAAATGACCTGTTTTAGTTGCCATCATGATGTGTGTATAAATTGCAAATATAAGAGCAATAAAATTGTTTATCTCCTGTGGTTTGTTATTGATGTCTGTGTCCTTCTTGAGTTTCACAGTGACTAGACGAGTCCTGCAAGTTCTGTACTGCGTTCTGTTTGAATGTATTCATGAGCTGACGAATATGACTGCTTACTTTATAAGACGTAATACTTGCGCAAGGCAGCATTAGTCAACAATCAGCAGGTATTTATTATATCAGTATCGTCAGCCACTGACTCATGACACACACATGATGCACAATTTAACCCACAACCTCCATTTTGACAAAACTTGTTATACATTGGCTCAGATCCACTTAAGCTATGATGTTTTTGTCGCTTACACTGACAGAAATTCACGTGACAATGTCCAAACTTTTTTTTTTTACATCTTATTTTATAATTAATTTTATTTAAGATGCAAGACTGATAGCTTGAATCATGTGATGAATGACAACATTTTTTGGTTTGCTTAAAGCTCTCTCTTCATGTGATTTGAAGATGGATTGACTATTGTGACGAATACATCCTAATATGCAATCACATGATTACTTTTGTTTATGGTTTCTTAGATACAGGGAGCGGCTCATTTATTCTCTTTCTCAACTTAACTCATTCTCCCCTACAAGAAAAATGGGTAACACTTTATTTTGACAGTCCACTTTCGACATTCTTCTAACAGTAAGTAACTTTAACTACATGTCAACTAGCAGTCATTAGAGTATTAGTAGACTGTCTGCGTAATATCCTCTAACACTTTATTTTGATGGGTCCACAACATACAACATACTGACTATGAGAAACTTTACAAGTGTATTCTACTAACCCTAAACCTACCCTAACAGTCTACTCTGAGAGTTAGTAGACATGTAGTTGCAAATTAATGAGAATTAGTTGACATGTAGTTACTTATAGTTAGTAGAATGTCTAAAGTGGACTATCAAAATAAAGTGTAAACGAAAAATCAAATCAAAAATCCTCTAACAGTAAATGCGTTTAACTGTTCAGTGTACAGTAACATGAGCTATGAAGGGCAGATTAGCTTTACTAGTTTGTGTAAAGAAAATAGTTCTGCTAAAAAGATCCTGAACTGGAGTAAAACCTCTGTTGTCCATGTTCTGCCTATTGCTGGAGTGAGATTGGGGACAAACATGAAACTAATGAACAACCCCACTGTCAAAACATGAGACGGAGGGTCTGGCATTGTGTATTTATGTCTTTACATGTTCTTCATACAAATATCAGTCTGTTCCAGTAAATGGAGAAAAAACAATTGACGTCTACAAAATGTCCCAATTTATATAATTAAGTACACGTGTGTGTGTGTGTGTGTGTGTGTGTGTGTGTGTGTGTGTGTGTGTGTGTCTGCATGTCTTTGTGTATACTGCATGAATGAGTTTTGTGATACATACGGGGTCGATGCCCAGGGGATAAGGGCCACCAAACACGCCAGGAACAGCAGGGTCTAACTGAAGAACTGAGTTACCATCCAGAGTCTCAAACCTACAAATACATAAGATAGAAATAGCAGATTATCACATTCGTTAAAAAGTGAATGTTAGTCAGGATATAATAATTGCTTTTCAGCAGTACAAATGAGATGAGACGCTGTATTTTACATGTTGTTTTAATGTTTTGCTTTTTGTTATTTTCATTATAAATTCATTTGACAATCAAATTAAGATTGTACGATTGCTGATGTTGTTTGATTATATTCTAACTGTTTTACTGATGTCATTTTGTGAACTTACGTCCAGTTTCCCTTAGGGAAAAACATGGGCCGCACACTCCAGCTTGAGCCGAACATGTTGAGGGATTTGGAGAAGCAGTCATTGTAGATCAATCCGGTGTAGACTGAGAATATCCCCATCAAAAGAATGATGTAGCGTCCCGCAAAAATCATGCTAAACATCTACACACAAGAGGGGAGAGAAAATAAAAACTAAGGTTAGACATTTATGACTTTTACATTTATGAACAATCCTCAAATAACATCATAAATATTCATACCAATTTTGCACCTCTGAATTTGACTTCATGATTACACTATGATATCTTGTTATATTATGTAATTGTATGTTAAAGACTTCATGTATTGGTTTGATTGCCTTAAATGTCCTTTTTTTTTAAATAGTCAACTGTCTGTATTATAAATGTGAATGTACAAATGTTAATTTTTTATATCTTCTAAAGGTTCATTTTTAACATTTAGAAGTACACTAAAACCACCAAATTTTATATTTCTTAAATGTAATAATTATTGATCAGCTGAGACCTCATTGTCACTCTTCTGCGCGAGCAGGCGGCTCTCTCTGATGACCAGATAAAGTGCCGCACATGTCATCAGCACTCCATGACCCATGTCCCCAAACATGACAGCAAACAGGAACGGGAATGTAATGATTGTGTATGGAGCTGCAAGAAACAAAACAGAAAAATCCAATCATACATGTGTTAAAAAAACTAAGTTATAATTTATTACCTGAGAAAAAGTGGACTGCACATTGGTAAACCAAATAGTAAAAGTATGGTTGTTTTCAAAATCTTATAAAGATGTTTTTGTTATATTTTCTGTGTTGGTACCTGGATTGATCTCTCTGTATGTTCCAATACCGTAAGCATCCACAATGTTCTGGAAACCCGAGGTGAACTTGTTGGTCTTGTTGTAAGTAGGTGGAGTCTGTTTGGTCTGCATTCGGTTCAAGATGGAGGGAACTGTGGAGCCACTCCGTTCCTACATAAATAAAAACTTAATTAAATTCATAATATTACCACTGAAGTATTACCTTTACAGTGTGGTAACACTTTATTTTGACTGCCCCCTTTAGACATCCTGTTGACTATAAGTAACTTTGCAACTACATGTCAACTACCAGACAATGGATTCTTAGTAGACTGTCTTCTTAATGTTTGCTTCTTAATAATTGCTTTGATGGTCCCCTAACAGACATTCTACTGACTATTAGTAACTTAGCAAGTACATGTCAACTTACTCTACTAACCAGAACCTAACACTCTACTAACACTCTAATTAGTTGACATGTATTTGCAAAGTTACTTATAGTCAACAGAATGTCTGAAGGGGACTATCAAAATAAAGTGTAAACGAAAAATCAAATCAAAAATCCTCTAACAGTAAATGCGTTTAACTGTTCAGTGTACAGTAACATGAGCTATGAAGGGCAGATTAGCTTTACTAGTTTGTGTAAAGAAAATAGTTCTGCTAAAAAGATCCTGAACTGGAGTAAAACCTCTGTTGTCCATGTTCTGCCTATTGCTGGAGTGAGATTGGGGACAAACATGAAACTAATGAACAACCCCACTGTCAAAACATGAGACGGAGGGTCTGGCATTGTGTATTTATGTCTTTACATGTTCTTCATACAAATATCAGTCTGTTCCAGTAAATGGAGAAAAAACAATTGACGTCTACAAAATGTCCCAATTTATATAATTAAGTACACGTGTGTGTGTGTGTGTGTGTGTGTGTGTGTGTGTGTGTGTG